TGGCATTTACTTTTTCCAATTAATAGACCACTATGCAGCCTCGATATCGATAATGTTTCTGGCCTTCTTCGAAGTAATAGCGATATCTTGGTGTTACGGAGTAAGACGACTGTGTAATAACGTGAAAGAGATGACTGGACGCAAACCGTCCACGTACTTCCGTTTTTGTTGGCTTATTGCAGCACCACTTCTCATCATGGTAAAGTCAATCGTTGTATTTTTAGAAAATAATTACAATTAATATTTTCAAAAAGGAAGCTTTTCCAAAATTCTAAGTGTCTTTTTTATAAAAAAACGAAGCTAAGAGATACCTTCTTCTTCAACTTCTTTTCAAAGTAATCAGAGATTTTTCATAGTGACATTTTATTAACAAAGTCATATTTGATAACAAGCACTTAAATTACATTTTCACATTCACTTTGATAAATACACCCTAATGCATTCAAAATTTTTAATTTGCAACATTTTAACATTTTCTTCAATATAAGAAAATATAATATTATTATATTTTTTTACATCTACTGTACGTGACTCTTCATAACTTATTCAAAATACTAAATTCTAGAAAAAAAAATTATTTAAAAAAAAGGTACTTTTAAGAAAAATTCAGTTTGCCCTTTAAATACATTGGTTCTAAATATAAAAATGAATGAATAAAAATTTCGTTCCTAATTTGTTCATTACATCTATACATAATTAACTAATAAATCCATTAAAAATATCTTCGTGTCACTTACCATTTCAGGCTGTATGGGTATTCAGCTTAATTGATTATGAACCACCGACTTACCACAATGGCGAATACAAGTACCCATGGTGGGCAGAGGCGATTGGCTGGGGAATAGCTTCTCTTTCTCTCATTTGCATTCCCTCTTTCGCTATCTACGAGTTCATTAAAGCGAACGGCAACACTTTTCTGGAGGTACGATAACGTCGCTCTTTTTGCACGAGAGCCACCGATTAAAATTCGATTTTACCCACTCTCGTCTATCATAATTTGTCTACTTTATCTTCCAGAAATTACGAAACTCCATCAAACCGCATTTCGAGGCGTGCAAAGTGTGCGGCCAGGAATACTGTACCGAGCCTATGCACAATTTCGAGGAGGAAGTGATCAAAGAGCAACAGGAAGCAAACAGTCCGATACAATTGAACACGAATAATTTTCTTCCTAAATCTCAGATATGACGTGAGATGGAAGACGAATGAAAATCACGGGTACCTTACCTTCGTACAAAGCGTTTTCGACGATGAATTAAAAAGAAAAAGCGTTTTAGATACATAGAAGCATAGGTAGAATTGAGATGTCGTTTAATTTTCTTGTTCTTTGTTATTATCATGTATCATATTGTGAGTTTACTAGTAAATATTTATTGAGCGTATAAAAAGTGTCGGACGTTGGGAGTTTACCGGATGATTTGTGCCAATCTAAATTCACCAACTCTTATAGTAAACAGGCAATTTAACGTAGAAGATCATTGTATTGCTCAAACCTATTCAACGTTGACATTATACTCTGGTAAACGAGTGAATTTAAGATAAGATTAATTATATTCATTCACATTTACCGGTAAATTTACGATATTACTGTTATTCCATTTTTCTTCCTTTTTTTTTTTGCAATTATTCGTTGGAAAATTGCACGCACGGCAGCGTATCTGAAATACAATGCCTCAGCTTATCGCATCGCGCGTATTTTCCGGCTTTTGTGTTTATATTTTATCAATCGAGGAGAAACGTGTCGGTGATACTCGAAGTATCGTATTATTAATATTTTTCGTTTCGGGGAAAATATAGTGCACCGTAAAGCTGATCGGAGATAAGTGAGAACGGCGTACGTTCACGAAAAAACAAACAAAAAAATTCAAACGCTTTTTCTACTTTCACATTTTAACATTTCAAAGTGAAATGTGAGTTTTTTTTAGACATCCGTAGCATGCGCAAGCTAGATCGATATCATTTAATGTGTGTGTGTGACAATCGTGAAATGTGTTATACTAGAAAAAATACGTGCAACGTGATAAACCGGAAGTATTTATAGCCCGTTGCACGCACGTTCAAGTTTGTCGAATGAATAATTTAAAAAAAAAGAAAAAAGGAAAAAATCATAATCGTGTGATTCATGGGATCCGTTGCAAAATCAACCGTTTCATATTTTAGTTGCGCGTTTCAGCGTTGTACGCCCCCTTTAAGAATATTTCGAACGGCGAAAAATAATTCCGAACACTAAGTCATGTTATGATTCCTTTTTAAAGTGGAGGTAAGAAATATTGCACTTCTTAGCGTGTTCTACGCGACATGAAGAAATTGTTTGCAGTTTTTGTATTATTCGAAAGGTAGAATTCGATAAATAGTGCAGTATTTCGTTTTACCAATAATTCTCTTTATTTACGAGGAAGAACTATCATTTGCAGTCCTTAGAATCACTTTATATCGTTACATGACGTTGCAAAGAATACTAATTTTTAGTTGCTTCATTTTAAGCCAATAATAAATGTAAAAGAACAAAAAAAAGAATTAATACGCGATATTAGGTTATGTTAGAATATGAAAATTAATTTTAACGCTTAAAAAGAATTGGATGCAATACACATGGTGTATAAATACAAAGATGTTTCTTTTTTTTTTTTCTGTTTTAGTAAATTCAAAGGCACTTGACATCCCATTTCACAACATTCCATAATGTTTCACGATTAATTTTCGTACACGCATCTTGTAAAAGTTAGTCGAAATGATTAGTTATGTAATATTAAAGTAGGAATATTTTATAGCAAAAGCGTACGTTGTTATACCGCAAAGTAAATGTACTGAATATGAAGATAAAATGAAAATCGTTTAATGCACTGCAATTAATAGTTGATGTATCATATAAACGTGTATGTTAAATAATAATGAGTACAAATACTAACGTTTTATCGTACTTGTACATTTTATCGAATAAGTAGTAAGAACGAAGGCAATAAGGAGTGACTGCATAAGCTTGTTAACAGCACATGACAGCACACGTGATGAAAATAAACACCGTCAAAGGTGAGATACGTCGTGTACCGAATTTCAAGGACAGAAAATTACTGTACAAAGTCAAATTGTCATCAAGTACATTAATTTATAATTATTCAGGATTGTAATAAATTATTACACTCTCACGTTACAATCTTATGTATCCTATCATATTATCATCACTTTAAAAAAACACTTACCCACTAACCTCGTATACGTTAAATAATGAAATTTAATAATATAAATCTATGAAATTCAATTCTGTAAATATTAATATTTTCAATTTTCCTTTAAGTTGCACAAACCAAGTGAATTGTTAAGAACGTATTATTAACGATATTTCTTTTAACTGTAAATTCATAATTTGGTGGAAATATATAGAATTTGAATATTAAATAAAAATTGAGGAATGACATTTTTATAATAAATATTTGC